CAATTGATAGTTAACATATACCTTTCTTACAAGCACCTGATAGAATTAATAAGGATGTATATTTTTCTAGAAAACATCAATATGGAATTCATCTTCAAGGAATAGTTGATCATAAAGGTCTTTTTATAAATTATGATATTGGATGGCCTGCTTCTGTACATGATGCAAAGGTATTTCAAAATTCAAATATTTATAAACAATCAACTACTTTTTTTGAAGGAGAAGAATATCTTTTAGGTGATTCAGCATATTCTTTACTTCCTTTTGTTATGACACCATTTAAAGTTCCAGATGGACCTCAAAAACAACAACAGATAAATTATAATATTAAATATAGTAAAACTAGAGTTGTAATTAAACAAGCATTTGGACGTTTAAAAGCAAGATTTTTATTTTTAAGAGCAATGAAAGTTAGAGATCCATCTAAAGGAGTAGAAATTATTGAAATAGCATTAATTATTCATAATTTTATAGAAAAAAATGGAGATGTATAGGGACAAACAAATCATAATGATGATAGAATTGAGATTCAACCTGAAGAAGATTCTGAATTAGTTGACCAAATTTTAGATGAAACAAATTCAGCTCAAAAAGAATATGCAAAAGTAAAACGTCAAAATTTATTAGTATTAGTTTCATAATTTTGTTATATTTAAATTTATTTTTATTTTTTTATTTTTATTTTTTTTACTTTTGATTTTTAAAAATATTTTTTTAATACCTATAAATAAGATTAATAATTATATAAAATTGTTTTAACTTCTTTAATTACTTTATATTTTTGCTTTATTTACTAGATTTACCACTATCTACTAGTTTTGCTACCTATTATCAGTTTCAGTTTTGCAGTTTTGTTATTTACCATTTTAATTTTTTTTGCCGAAAATCAAAACTAGATTTTGTCTAATATTAAATCCACCTTCTTAGAATGCTATTTCTCTAACCTCATAATTCTAATATCCCTTTTTTCTAAGATCTAATATTGGTCAAAATAGTTTCAAAAGCCTTGAATCATATCTAATATACTACATTCACATAACAAATATTAGCATCCACATTATCAGCAAAATTCTCTGAATAAAAATGAATCAGAGAAGAGAATATTTTCTTCAAACCTTAATAGCTGACAAGACGTATTTCTGACAACTTAGTTAACCAATAGTTTATTTTACTGGTAGTTTACTTTACCAACAGTCATTTCACTGAAAGTAATTCTGATCATTGTTGTTAAGGTATGTTTAAAATTAGTTAATATTAGTACAATTTTTTTTTAAAAAAAACCTGTTGTAGAAATAAGCTGTTGATGAAATAATTAACCCTATTTAATTTTGACCAGTCTACTTTGCCATATATATTTATGCAGTATAATGGTCTTTCTGCATTTGATAATATAGTATAAGTTATGTCTACCAAGTATGGTTGGTAGCTTGACTTTTTATATTAGTTCATATTATCTTCATGCATATGATCATTAAACAAATTTTCTCACAATACCTAGAAAAGAAATTTGCATTTTGCATTTTTTTAATACTAGATACATGTACTTCTATACAAAAAATAAAATATACGAGGATAAAAAGTTAAAAAAAAAAAAGATTTAACAAAATCAAAAGTATACTCAACTTCACTAGAATATATTATTTCATTGCTTTTTAGACCTCATTGCACTATAATTTTATATTACTTAGAAAGTTATTTTTTATTTTTTATTTTCTTTTCATTGAATTTCTTACCAGTATGATGAATTAATAATCAATAATTGTTAAAGGCTGTAGTAAGATCATATTCAAATTTAAATTATATCATTATCATATAATCGGTTTTAAATTTATATAAGTTATTATCTATATAACTATAAATCTTGATTAAAATCTGAATTTACAATGTGGTGTGATTAATATACGTAAAAACAATGCCGAGTGAATGAGGTAGAACAAAATAAATGTAAAGCTGAGCTTGATTGAGGCCTAAAGTTATTGCATTGGTTATTTCACAACAAACTTTACATATTTGTGTTCTATTTTATTAAAGAGAGAGAATTTTTTAATAAAGTTTAAATGTTAATCAAATAAAATATTGTTTTACTGCTTCACTAGATCTTCTAATTATTAGATAGCTAAAACTGAATAGCAAAGCATCCCGTATATAAAGTTCTAGTATCTATGTTTAAATTGCATCTATATTATTGTAAATCTTGATTAAAACTTTAACAATTAATAATTGTTGAAATATGGTAAACAAATATAGAGGTTAAAACCTGCCGAGTGAAGCGAGGCAAAACATTAAAAACTTAAAACTCAAGCAAAGCCAAGAACTATGAAAAAACAATTAGAATACCACCTTAATATATATGTTTTGATTTCAATTAATTATGTATTACCAAATTGTAAGTGTCTGTTAATACCATATACTGTTATATCTTATTATTAGTTGGCAGCGAAGTTGCTACATGATCATGTACTAGTTGTTGGTGAAATAAATTTCTCAGTGAATTGATTGTTGATAAAATGATACGAATCCAATTATATCCTGTTAGTAAAGTGGACCACAATCAGTATTTAAGAAAGCAAAAAATAACTTACGATACTCTGTTCTCTTTCAACACAACCAAGCATTACAACTGTCTCTTTTTTCTCAACCCAACCCTTTCTACTACACACAGTGGTCTTCTGATTTTGGCATTTTCCTATTTAACAGCTGGCCTGCTTCGAGCAGGCAGGAAACCTCCGGTTGATGCTGATTCTCACTCGTTCTACTATTATGATAATACCTGGCATCTCACTTGCTAATTTTCTTAGGTACATATCATCATTTCAGTTCAAATTACTCAGCTCAAATTACTCACAATATATTCTGCGGACTTAAAGTCCTTTAGTTGAATTTATTTACAGCACCTTTGGCTAGCCGGCATTCTTCCAAACATATGACTATTCATACCTGTGCTTTTTTGATTACTTAATGTTGCAATGTCTTTTATTTAGATTAGAATTTGATTAGCCCATCTTTTGATAAGTTAATTCACAAATATTATTACATATAAGGGTCCGAAAAATGAAAATAATTACAAATAAGAGCCCAAAATTAAAATAATTACATATATGGACCCAAATTTTGAAAAATATTACATTCAAGAGTCAAATTTATCATATTGAAAGATTTACATTTAAAAATATATAAATTTTTTTTCCTGACAGTAAAGAAATATTACCTTTTAATAAGTATTGCTTTTATTCTCTTAATGTCTTGTATGTAAAAATTATAACTACTTCCACCAATTTTTAAAAATAATTTAAATTTTTCTATGAAAACAGATGAGTTTTTGTAGTTCTAAATATCCTTGATTAACACATAGAAACCTTTACAAAATATGATTCACTAGTTTTGGTATAGGATAAATACGTTAGTTTAGAACTGAATAAACATTACAAGATTGATAAATATCATACTTACCTAGTTGAATTGTATCTTGGTTAAAAGTTTCATTAAATGAAAGAAAATAGTATAAAATGTATAAAATGCATAAAGTAGTGCTTATATATGTTGTACGTCAGAACAGAATTATTGTAGGTTTAGAATCCACTTAGGTTGGAATAAAATTCCAAATGTAGTTCAAGTTGATGCGAAATTTAAAGGCAACTTACATTGATTCTAAATTTGATATTGTAATGATCGATAAATTTGATTTTAAAATTCGATACTGCAATAAATGCTTAAGTGATTGACGTAACGATAGTTAAATAAATTACACCTATCATGTGATAAATCGTCAAAATAAAATATAGATTTTTATACTTTCTTGTTCTTATTTCACTTGTTCGTTCTTTGCAAAACTTTCTACCCGATGACCGAATTTTAAGATTATCCATTTTTGCCTAATAATGCATTCGAAGAGTTATTTTTCCAAAAAATTTTTAAGCAGCTAATAGTCGACATAAAACCATGAAGGTTTTGATTGCTGTATTAAGGTTTTACACAACCCAGCAGATACAAGTACAATGATCGAAAAACATTCCCCTGCATCATCCTCAAAGTCTTGGGAGAATGACATATATCAATTCGGATACAAATCCGGTATGATTAGAATTAGTATAATTCTAATTAATTTCTTCTATTGTGTTCTGATAAGTTTCAAAAAATTAAATAGTATAGTCGACTCTGGATATAACGAGCTCAAAATTTTGAAATTTTACATAAAAATGCAAAGGGTTCCCATGAAAACTTGGTAATTTCCTATACCGAATTTTTTTTATGCAACCCTCTTCACAAATACATAGATAATATTAAATACGATTACAAAAATGCATGTGATAAAAATCATTGAAAATATAAAAAAATGAAAGTACCTTGTGGAGTAATTGCCATCCCACTAATTTGCAATACGTAGCATTATGAATAGGCTCTATCTTAAATCGACTTAAATTCCAAAACAACTTACTCAATAAAATAATTTGGAATACAATTAATTTTATTGTAAGTTGAATTGGAATTCTCTAACGACTTGGGAACATTTTAGAATTCTAATGCAACCTATGTTTATTTGGAATTAACCTAGGTGGATTTTAAATTCACAATAATTCCATTCCGATGTACAACATATATAGTTCTAACGTTCAAAGAACCATTATCACCATAATGCAAAGTTATTCTGGCCCTTAACTGTAAAATTTTTCGGGGCCTTATATGTATTTCCCCAATTTTTAATGATAGCTATTTTGGATTTATAATGATTTATATATTCAAAAATACTTTATTGAACTAGCTTAAATTTATCATATATTACATTTTTAATAACAATAAAGTTTAAACTTACAATTATATGCTTAATCAAATTCAGATTATTCTGATTATTAGAATAGAAAGCTCTATCTCAACATAGGCACATTCAGCAAATACTTTAAAAAAAACATGCTGATTCAATATAAAATACGTATGTTAATTTTTATTTAACGATTATTTGATAATAACATCTAACACTATAAAATTTTATCGTTAGACTTACGTTATTTATGCTTCATTTCTAATTCATTTAGTTTTGTTTCCAATTCCTTTAATTTTAATTCAAAATTAATTTTCATTTGTTTATCTAAATCTAATCTTTCATTCTCAACCTTAATTCGAGCTTCAACTTCTTGTTTTTTTAATTGATATTCTAATTCTCTATACTTTTTTTCTAATTCAAATCTGTCACGCTCAATTGTAGAATGTTCTTCAATCCACTTCTTTCTATTTTCAGCTGACAGTTTCTTACTTTCACTAATAGCTTCTACGGACTTAATATATGATAAATCATCATCACTCAAATTTTTTTTTTTCTTACGTTGAACCATCTCCTTCTCAGCATTAATGTTAGTACCGTAATGCTAAGGTTTTAATGGAAATATATATATAAGTAAGTATTTCATTTTATAAAATCTCAAGATCAAATAAATATATATACGGTGCAAGAAATCTAAAAACCGCAATCTTCTTATAGAGAGAAGTATAAAAAGTTATTTGAATTATTAGCATCAATAAAGTGTGTACATAAATACTTTATTGAAGTCAATAATTCCAAATGTGCTATTTAATTATATGATATGCACTACTATTTGAGCGTTTCTAGCTAATGACGCTAAATATTAAACTTTATTACATGATGTTTTATTGGAATTTGTAGCATACATCAATGCAATTGATGTATAAATTGAGACGGGATATGCTCCCAGGAATAGCAGCCGCGTAGCATCAGCCGGTGGTCTTCACATTGCATAAAGCAGGCCGGCCTCAAATGAAGGCTTTGTTACAAATATCAGAAATCGATATGAGTTGGGAGGGTTCAGGTGCAAAGCTTGGTTTTTGCAGTTGATAGAGCCAATTTGTCTTCTTATATATCAGGTTCTAACGATGTGCAATTTATTAGTATTTGGATGGTATCTCGAATAAACAACTACAATTCCCTAAATACATAGTTTATGAAAGACCTCATGGACCCAACTCATATAACACTTATAGATTTTACCTCCCTAAATACATACGTTTCTAAATGCAAGATTGATTCGTATAATTGGAATTATCGTTATATATTAATAAATTATACTTATCTTTTTTCATGTGCTGGTCCATGTGGCATTTGCTTATCTGTTTACCCTTCAGGCAAACTGCTGTGTTTCTGGTTCTGACCGGATTGCTTCCGGCATATCCTTGCTTTACTATGACTTTCGTCAACTTGAACTCTGGAGAGATGGTTTGTCCAGTAGCACATTGAAATCAAAATATTTCTTTAATTATCAACTTCAATAAAGTATTTATGTACACACTTTATTGATGCTTATAATTCAAGAAATAACTTTTTATACTTCTCTCTATAAGAAGATTGCGGTTTTTAGATTTCTTGCACTATACGTGCATATGTACATCTGTGCATACATGCTGTATATATTATACATATTTATTTGATCTATTTAAAAAATAATAGATAAATACCTTTCCCGTACTATCGATTAAACATTCAGGATGAACATTCTCTCTGTTACCAAAAATCTCATTCATTAGAGAGTAAAAGGGCCATTTTGAGGTTCCTTGGCCTGTTTTTTCTTTGCTTTCTTCAGAATATTTTTTAACTAATTTTTGTAATTTTCCACGGACCTATATATAGGAATATTAGAAAATGCATTTTAATGATTTTTATGTTCCTTAACTTGATTTAATAAAATGTTTTAAAACATCATTGACAGTATTATTAATCAGATTTAAACGTTTTGTTTTAAAACATTTGACAACCATACCTGTATACTTGACTTGCCACCGATATGTAAAGCAGCACTTGCATAGAATTTTTCTTTATTTTTACGATAATGGGAAAAATTCTCAGACAAATAAGCAAGTAGTGCTTTAATTGCCGAATCAGCCCACAATCTATTATCAGTATCATCATCTTCGGTTAATGGACGTTTATTTTTTCCCTTGGTACTTTGAGATGATGGAATAACTAAATCATCATCAGATAAAATATATTCCACCGCAGGTAAAGTGGTACTAGACGAACTTGCTTGTGCTGTAGGCAAAGGGTCGGAAGAATGGATATGTTGAGAAGTTGATAAATAATTATACTGAGTAAATTGTTTTTTCATTTCGTCGGGATACACAGCAAATGTGGGTACTGTTTGCGAAATTTTTAATTGATCCATTGGAACACAACTTTAAAAATCAGTGAAAATTTTTTACGAATCAATAAATATTTATATAACTACCCCGCTAGTAATAAATAAAATTATAGATATTCTTTGATTTTCGTAGATACACAAGTTAATTGTTACGATTTTTTATTATTGTACAAATTAAGGGTGTTCTCAAACCTCAATTCCGATGTGATTAGCTAGCAATCGTAATAGTGCACAACTATAATTATGTCTATCCCTTACACCGTCTTGCAGGCCAATTTGCCTGGAAATTTCATGATTAATCTGTGATCAAGCTATCAAATTATATTGAAATGTAGTTTAAATTGTGGTAGATTCGTAGTTAAATTGACGGTTTAAGGGATATAAAATTTTTGTTGAGAAATTGAATATACAAATTATGATGTAATTAAAGTTTTCTCAAACGTTATCCTCGATGCGATTATCTAGTAAACGCGATGATGCTCATTTATTATAATCAATCAAAATAAAAATTGCAAATGATACTTGAGCAATTTATTAATATATTTTAATGGTTAAAAAAATAATTCGTTGATGATGAGATTTGGATCAATAACGAAGTTACGTGAGTGATCTTTTCAAATACTCAATTGGAAATTTGACACCTATTATTTAACTATTCATCACAATTGCTGCTAAATAAAATTTATTCACTGACATTTTTTGACCCATTGATTAAAGCGCTTGAGAACGCCCCAAGATTGTTTTATCTTATTATTTTACAATAAGGTATAAATGTCTGAAATCTAAGGCTAGCACTTCTGAAAAGAATATATATGTCGTTAGAATTTAAGTTGATTCGGATTTTTAAGGTTAGGGTGGGGATTTTTAGTATAATTATTCCGTTCTAATCTAAGTGGACCTATTATGGTTCCATTCCCACTTACCACATGTATATTGTTATGATTTAGGAGAATTATAACTTCAGGGTTTATCTGGTATCATGCGAAACTCATTGTCATAGCAATTGAGTTAGTACCTGTTGTATATCGGATAATAACTTTATAATCCTGTTGATTCAAGTTTCGATTACCAATTTTAGAGAAGATTTGTATTTATAGCAAACAGGTTTGTTTGGTTCTAATTTGGATAAAGATCTCGTGGCCTGATCAGATTAGATCAATACTTTAACAAATATATTGCTTTGGAATTTAGATCACTTTAAATAAGGGTTATTCATAACGATAATGAAACGCATCACTAATTATAGTTACAATGAAGACAATTACAGCAACAGGGCAAATTCATTTATTTTTATACTTGTAATGATTTTGTATGCACTTTCGTAATTGATTTATCTATTTTTTGCAACAATTACATAATAAATGCGCTTATAGGCATTGAAGAATACTATGGTTTGTTGGTGTTTCAATATCACATATAGCAAATATATCTTTTGCACAATAACGATCTTTACATCCCCGATAATTGTATTTACCAGATCTTGTAAAACTTTAATACAGAAATCAAATGTAATCAAGATTTTACATCGTCGATTGGCCAATTTGCTGTTGAGGTGTTTGAAAAGCAATTCATTGAATATCTTACGGAATAAAAAAGAATAATCTTAAGATCATCGGATAGAGTTGTAATGAATAAAAAGAGAAATAAAAGAAAAATAATTATAAGATTTGTAGTTAAATATTTTTGTCAATTTGTTATAATGATAAAACGTAATATACTTTAACAAACATCAATCGATTACATATTTATTACAGTATCGGAATTACATTCAGAATCAACTTAAATTACTTTAAAATCTCGTATCAACTTGGGTTACATTTAGAATTGGTTGCGGGTTAACTTTCCAAACTTCATTTTTCTGAAATATCATTTCACTGAAATCGTAATCTGATAATCTATTTTACTAACAGGACATAGTTGGGTCTGTGTCATTTCACCAATTACTTCACCGATAGCTCATTCTATCAACAGGCTTTTTAAAAATCGCACTAATCTCAACTCTAATTCTAAACTTGATCCTAACGAAAATGACCACAAGTAAACGATGATGATCCTGGCATTTTTCAACCTGGCCGATCGACTTTTTTTCAAATCAGATGGTCAATTTTATAATTGAAGTATTTATATAACCAAATGGTTCTCGAATTATGTTATTAGCATTTTCTATATTGATTAATTTAATATTGGTTTTATCTATTTAGAAGGCTTTGCTTATATTTCATGGTTCATGGTATCTCAACAGCTTATTTTCTAGCAACAATCGTATGATGTATATGTTGTAGGTGGGAATGGAATTTAAGTGGATTTGGAATTTCCTAGTTAAATTAGGTTAGGGTTAGGGTGTACATATGATAAAATCAACCTCAGAACGGGGATTTTATATATAGATTCCGAATCTACTTAAATTCCGTTTTCACTTACAACATATATACAGTATCATCCAACAAAATCAACCCAAAAATTTTTAGAACAGGCCGATTAAACTGATAAAGTTTTATCAGCTTAGCTGGTCAAAGAACTTTGATCTGGCAGGCAGGATCACTGGTAAATAATTTATGATGAATCCTGTTTGCACCTAAGTAGTTTTAAGATTCAAAATCCACTTAAGTGGATTCTAAATTCAAAAATTCTGAGTTTACCTATAACATTTTAGATTCGAAGTGCTAAAAGGCCATGCAATGTTAATTAATTGGTTCTCGTAACCCGGCCGGGTCTACTTTAAAAGTTTCATGTTATGAGAACCAATAAATTTGCGTGGCCTAATGTACTGAATGATAGAACGTGATCAATCTCTGTTTTTGTCGACTAAGTAACTTCTAGTCGACTTATAATACTCTTTACCTTAATAATTAACACATTTTCTGTTATACAAGTCACTCTCGTTATAGTGAAGTAACAGGGACTATTAGTAAAAATTCACTGTATCAAGAGTTTTATTAGCAAATTCACTATATCGAGAGAATTTTATATAGACTGTGTTTGAGTCTAACTTCGCTATAACTGTGTCTTCATTATAACAAGAGTGACTTGTATATTATTTACTTATTCCTTAAACCTAAATAACCTTTCGTAGTATTAAAGAAAATCGCAAAATTTTTGTCACATTTAAAAAGGTGACATGTAAATAATCACATAATAGTTCAGCCAATAGAAAGTATAATAATGTATTATCTTTTATTTATGTGACAAAAAATAAATCACATAGTACTGTTCTATTTTTAAAGATCTGCATATACCCGTGATCATGGTCTAACCATAATAAGAAGCACCCTAAACCGTAGAATCAGCTATGAATATCGCCATAATGACATTAGAAAACATCGGTTTACTATGAAAATTAAATGAAGCATGAATTATATCAGTACTTTCTAATGCTGCCAAAGAAAAAAATTCTAATTGATGATCATCGTAAATAGACACTAGTGACTCCTCTTCAAAAAATTCATCAAGACCATTTAACAGATTATAAAAACCATCGATCTGTAATGAGTCCAATTCATTTAT